AGAGGAGAGGAGAGGAGAGGAGAGGAGAGGAGAGGAGAGGAGAGGAGAGGAGAGCTATTCTGTTTCCAGAGTGGAAGGCGTGGCCTCGTGTCTCCCTCTCTGGAGCTGGTAGAAGGGGCTTCAGGTGTGACGCCAGCTCTCACGTCAGTTGACCCCTACTAGGCTCGAATGACTCCTAAAGGCCGTTTGCCACATACCGCTCTCAAAACCTTAAGGCCTCCGTGAGGATCTAAGGCACACAGACTTTGAGGATAGGGCTATTCCTAGTTTCCACGGGTAGTAATGGCTCCTGGGGACTTAAGCTGAAGTCCTCAGTTGCCTGAGAGCCTTGTCCACAGAGTCTGGGAAGCCGCAGCCCAAGCTGGTGTCAGCAGCCCTCACTGCCTGAGCTGTGGCATCGGTCAGCTGTCTTCCTGAGAGACGGAGGGGGCAGCTTCCCCAGCCCTGCGGGCACAGCTCAGGGAGAACAGGGCTGCTGTCTTTGTTTGGCATTGTTCAATGTCAGCAGTAGAGAGGCAAAATCAGCCCAAAGGGCTGTTTAATTGCAATTGGGGAAAAAAAAAATCATGCCTTTTCAAGGGAGAAAAGGCGAGTTCTCCATCCCTTCAGTTTCCAGCCAGACACTCTATCTGCTGATTTGGTCTCATTCAAATCTAAACAAGCACATTCATCATTCCAAAAAGTGCCACTCAAGCGACTGCCTTGCCTCAAGTGTTCCCAAGCCCAATTAGGCATGGTGCAAGCTACTGACCCCCACAGGGCAAGGACCAAAGGGGGATACAGCCCCCCATCTCCTGGAAAAAAAATGCTGCCTGGCTCCTCATGTCTCCCCAGGGCAGAAGGAAAAGTCAGAAGTCCAAGTCCCTGCCCACCCTGGAACCTGGCTCCCTCTCTGTGAAACCAGCCCAGGCTGGACGGGAGACAGCAAGAAATTGCACTGTTCCTTCTGTCTCGGCTACCATTCCTAAGGGCTCGAGGCTTTATTTACTGGCCAAGATTCGGTCTGTGTTCTTCACTATTCAACAAACTCAGGACAAAGTGTCCCCTCTCCCCTGCCATGTACGAGTCTCCCAGGTCCCTTTCAGGTCACATACTTGAATTTTGAGAGCAGTGGTAACAGTGCACACTCCTCCTCCCTGTTGTAATATTCTGACACCCTCTGTGACCTCTACCCATGCTTTATGGAAGAAGCACGCACTGGTAAGTAACTGGCCCAAGGGCACACGACCGGCAAACGGGAAATTCAGATGCAGGCTACTAACCCCTCACTAGGACATTCATATGGAGTCGCTAACAATCCCCAAAGCAGGGTGGGGTGGTGCAGGCCTGTAAACCCAGCTACTGTAGCTGGGGCGGGGAGATCACAAGTTCAAGGCCTGCCTGGGCTGCATAGGGAGTTTAGGTCAGCCTGGGATACACAGCAAGCTCATGGCCAGCCTGGGTTACTTAGTGAGATCCTGAGTCAAGATGAAAACTGTTTAGAGGGCTGAGAAAATAGCCTAGCACACAAAAAGACCCTGGGTTCCGCCTCCAGTACTATCAAACCAAATGGACTCTGGACAGAGACAGGGCCCACACTTTGGTGGCCTTAATGTTCCTATCCTTCCACACTCAACAAATATTTATTGAGTAGTTGAATAAGGAAATGAGTGAGTAAATGAAGTGAAAACTAGAAAAACCCTAGAGACAACACAATACTAACGGTATTAACAATGGCTCTACTTAGTAAGTGCTTACTGTATACGATGCACATGACCCCACTCAGTGAGAGTTTGGTAGCTGCTACATTTGAGTCAGACCCTTTCACATGTTTTTTTTTTTGTCTGTGACCACTAGAAAATGTTTACACACACACACACACACACACACACACACACACACACACACACACACACACTGAGAGAACAGTGCCACAAAGCAATATTTACCCTTCCCCGTTGTGATGTGTGACGATAACTTTCTCTCTTAGCCTAGTCTATCAAAATGAAATGCTAATGGTCACATACGAAGTCAATTTCAAGGCCCGTTGGTGGGTCGTGCAGTGTGGAAAATGTCACTTCATTGCAGGCTGTGCATTAGGAAGCTAATATGAATCCTGCTCTCAGCTCTCACTACCACTGGATACATGTAAGTGCCCTGTCAGGTAGAGTTTTTGTTTTGTCTTATTTCCCTCCCCCGCCCCCAGGACAGAGTTCCTCTGGGTAGCCCTGCCTGTCCTGGATCACTCTCAGTAGACCAGGCTGGCCTCAAACTCACAGAGATCCACCTGTCTCTACCTCTAGAGTGCTGGGATTAAAGGCATATGCCACCGCCGCCACCCGGTGCAGGCAAGTTGTTATCCTTTCTACGTTTCAGATGAGAACGCTGAGGCCCAGAGAGGCTGAGTGTTTTAGCAATGCATGCTGGTATATCAGTCAGCCACTGCCACAGAACTGTGTACCTTAGGGTGCAAACAGTAGACCTCTGTTTCTCAAAGTCTGTGGGTGTGCTGGGATGGCCAGCTGGGACGTAGTCTTTCTCCATCAGTGGCCCCTCCGCTTTGCACCCGCCATCTTCCAGCTCATGGGGACGCATCGCTGCATTTTCAGCTAAGGCTTTGGCTTGTCAGAAGAAATGACCACAGACCTGTGCATATCAGCACACAGCACTACCTGGTTCATGCAGACGGGTCTTCCAGGACGGAGTCGAGTCAAAACCACACTGTATGTCATCCCTATGCGTGTTCTAGGGCAAGGCTTTCGGTTCTTTGTTCCAGTGTTTCAGTGTTTCCTTTGAGAAGGAGAAAGTAGGGAAAAGAGGGAGAGTGGAGAGCAGGGGGGGGGGGGAACGGGACACGTGGACGGGTGGGCAAATGACCCAACATGTCTGAGCTGAAGTTTCTCCACCTTTAAATTGATGACACAGATGAATACATTTCAACACACTGCTGAGTGACAAAATCAGGGCACAGCATGCGGTGCAGTGTCTCGGTTTTTTTTTGCAGTGTAGCTTGTATTTAATGGAGATGCGTGTGCTCATGGACTGAGTGTGGTAGCTTGTATTTAGTGGAGATGCGTGGGCTCATGGACTGAGCATGGGGAGACATTGGAGATTTGTTTGTTCAAATCTCCCTAGTGCTTTCCTCTCTCTGTGCACCACGTCCTGAGTGTAAGCTTGCAACAGGGGGACACATGATGTAGACTGCAAGGAAGAAACCGGGCAGTCACATCTGGTCAAACAAAACCTAAACTACCAGGCCTAAGCCCTGGCCCTAGTCTGATGAGAGGGAGGCCAGGAGGCCATCTCCACTTGCTGGCTAGCTCCTTTCTGGAGCTCTGGCCTGCTTTATCTCTCAGATAAGGTGAACACTCCCTCCACATCCTGGCCATGTCCTCACCCCTCTGCCCAGCACCTCAAGCACTCTGGACATCTTATCTTTCACATTCCATTCCCCTTTCCCATTCCCAGGACCTTAAAAGGGTGAGTTGATTTTCACTGACACTCATTTGAATGTCAGTTTGAAGTTTTTCATTCACTCATTTGCCACAGACCCACCATTTTCCCATTCATTCACAAATATTCACTAAAGCCCACGCTGTACCAAGGCCCATGAGGGCTGCCAGGGACCCAGAGATAAGTCAGGTGCCAGTCCTTAAAATACCCCCAGCCTAAACAGTGACACAAACTAACCCAGGAGCCCAGAGGAAGTCCTTGTCCTGATCTGACCCCCAAGTCCACTCGTAGTGAAACATCATCACCTTATCACACTGATGGGGTACACAAGGCCGCAGTGCCAGAGTGGGAGGCCTCAGCGGAATCGGTTACAGGTGACAAATACATACTGTAGTAGAGTCACACGCCTCCCTTGTCATGACCGTGGCAGACATTATGAATCAAACATGCATCTTATCTTTCCCCAGGAACCTTTGAATCAATGTCAACGTAGCTGCGTCTTGGTTTTCAGACACCAAAGTCTACAGATGAGTAAGTCCCTTATGTGAACGAAGCAATATTTGCATATAACCTACACACAGCCTCCTGCATGCTTTAAATCATTTCTACCTAACTTACACTACTTAATGAGATGTAAATGCTATGTAAATGATTGCTACAATGTATTGTTTAGGTAATCAAAAAAAATATCTGTATATGTTTAATACAAATGCAACCCCCCATTTCATCGGTTGATTGAATCTGCAATTTAGGAAATGTGGACATGGGATGCAACTGCAGTTGGTATGTGTGCCAATCCAAACCAGGCTGGGGAACCCAGGTGCTGAAGATCCTCTGCTGACTCCCTATTCATTGCTCTTGGGCTCTGAGGAGTCAATTCAGAGGTTATCATGGGCAGCTCCAATGGCACCACCAACAGGTCAGCTCTTGCTGATGGCAGGGGAGGAGAGACAGCCCTCTGCTGGAGAGATCCATAAGGCTGGTGGCATGTGGCTTTTTGGCAGGCTTCATAAATTGCCCAGAGGATTAGGAGGGATAAGTAAGCCGGAAGATGCCAAGCCCACACATGGGAACAGGTCCAGCTTGGATGTATTTCATTTCTGATCACACCAGAGCAGAGCAAGAATTATGGGTGTAGTACATAAACCCAAGCATTTGTGCCTGGTGATTTACTCTGTTCTCTGCTGTTTCCAGGGCTGCCTCACTCCAACCTTACCGCTACTGCTGTTTTCAGACCCTGTGCCTGCCTCTCTCCAACACCAGAAACACTAAATCCAGCTGCCCGAGGAACTACTTCACACTGCGATGTGCCAAGACTCTTTCTGAAGGCATGACTTGTTGCCATGGCGGCATGCACACAACGGTAGCCCGGGGTCCCACTCTATGACTTTACTGTGTGGACCAAACCAGAGTCTGGTAAGAGGGCCCTGGGCATGTGGCCTACATATGATGCACAAATGCTCATATCCACACCCGTGCCCCATCTCTTGTAAGCTCAGCTACACGTTAGCCCTTAGGAGTTAGACCGAGGCTTCGGAGTCATGTGGACTTGGTTTTGAAGCCTAGCCTCACACTTATGAGTGGTGGGACTCTAGATGAGGAATATAACTGCTCTCATCCTTGGCACCGTCGTGTGCTTATGGAACCTACTTCACAGGGCTCTCATGGGATGTGCACAGCTTGTGGTACCCAGATAATGCTTTCACCACAAATGTCTTTGACAAGGTCAGTGTCTGAAACTAGGATAATGAGCTTGTCTCCTGGGACCAGTTTGACTTACCATTCAGCCAAGTTCACACAGTTCCCAGATGGACAGAGGATAAAGCCAATGTATTGAATGGATAGGTAGATGAGTGAGTAGGTGATGGATGGATGGATGGATGGATGGATGGATGGATGGATGGGTGGGTCGTGGGTAGGTCATGGGTAGCTGAATGAATGGATATATGAGTAGATAGAAAGATGGTGAACTGGTTGGGTTCTTTTGTCAACTTGACACAGATAGTTATCTGGGGAGAGGAATCTCAGTTGAGAAAATGCCTCTACCGGATGGCCATAGGCAAGCCTGCAGGGCATTTTCTAGATTATGACTGATGTGGGAGGGTCCAGCCCACCTGCAGTACCACCTCCGAGAAGGTGGTCCTGAGTTATATACGGAAACAAGCAAAGCAAGCCATGGGGAGCAAGCCAGTAAGCAGTGTCCTCCATGGCTCCTGCTTCAGTTCCAGCCTCCAGTGCCTGCCCTGACTTCCCTCGGTGACGGAGTGCATGTGAGAGTCCCAAGATGAAATAAACCCTTGCTTCCCCGAGTTGCTTGTGGTCCTGGTGTTTATCACAGCCATAGAAACCTAACTAAGACAGATAGGTGGATTCTATTAATGGATGATGGAGGCGGATGGGTAGGTATATAAACGAGCAGGTTGGATATTTGGAGAGGCAGAAAGATGTTTGAATGTGTTCTATTTCTGGAACCAGGAACATCACAGCATGGGTTTGAGCCAGGCCAAATTTGACCTCCCTAATACCAACCTGAAAGGTAGCAATCCTGCTTTTCTTCTGTAACCTGCTACTCCTATGCATTAGAAAGCTTTCCCAAACCCTTCCCTAACCTGTCTAGATTTTCCAGGTGGCTTGGACCTAGCTCTGTGCCCTGCTTTCTTTCTCCTGTGTCTGGGCTGAAACTCAAGGTCACCATGCAAGGCCTATCCACTGCTTTCGGTACAGCAGGATGTGACATGGGGGCAGCCTGGGGGTTGGGAAAGGGAGAAGCCCTACCTGGCTGGGCTGTGACCGCAGAGGCACATGGGAGAAGGATAGGTGGCCTACACTAGTGACGAGAAGCTTCTGAGTCCATCCACACAGGCAGAGTGTGCAGGGTCGTATGCCCCTAGCTCAGCTGAGCCATGGGCACTGGGAACATGGGCAAAGGCAAGCTTTCATCCAAGGTTGCAAGTGGCTGTGCTTGGCAATGGGGCGTCTCCGTCAGCTGCCCACCACAGACAGCATAGGGGGGCAGCGTCCCTCCTTCTCCTGAAGCACTTGACACACACTAAATTGCTTTTCATGAGCCCAGGCAGTTCCCAGGGAGCTGCTGCCTTTAGATTGGTGGCATCCGGCATGCAGGCAGTGGCAGTAGGGGGTTCTGAGGTGCCACAGCAGCATGGAACCACAGAAGCGGGGCCTCAGTGGGGAGGGATGGCATCAGAGTCACAGGAGGAGGCTGGCGAGGGGCCTTGAAGGAGCCAGGTGCCAGCCACCCATTGCTAGTTGTGACGCTGGTTTCCTGTCCTCTAAAAGGAGCCAGGATGGCCTCTCCCACTGGAGCTGACCCCAGGATTAAACAAGCCAGCCTAAACAATGCACCTGCAGTGAGGGCACCCTGTAGCTAACAGAGCCTTTCCCTGCTTTGTTAGAACAGGATTTCACACAGATTCCTGCCACCTCCCTGGTCTGGGACCTGCACCTCAGAGTCCATGGAGAGAGCCTGTGTTCAATGTTCCCTTCTTCTCACTTGGACTCCTCCCCTCCCACCCCTTCCAGAAGGGCAGTGAAGTGTGGGCTTCAGAGCCAGCACAGCTGGAGGGCGAGTTTAGTGACAGGCAGGGAGGGGTACCGTACTGGATGCTGCAGAGAATGCACAGTCCCTTGGCCTAGAGGCAGGCAGGAAAATAGCGCAGTCAGGTATGGGCTGCATGCTTCAGACAAGGCCTTACAGCACTCATCACGCCCCTGAAAGGTAGGTCTGCTCACATGCCTCTGTTTCGCAGAGGAAGGAGCTGGGCTGTACAGAGGGCAAGAAGTCCATCCCAGCCTAAGGCTAGACGTAGCAAAGCCAGTACCCAGGCTGTTCTGGCTGAGGCAGGGGTGGAATATGGGTGAGCAGGTAAACAGTGATATGGGGTTTCCACAGACAGGTGGACAGGTCGTGGGGAGGGGCGGGGGGGGGTGGGACGCGAGATGGAGCGTGAACGGAATTGGAGAGTTATCAGCAAGAAGGAAAGACAGGAGTCCAGTGCTTCTCTCAGGTTTTCCCTGGCTGGGCTTCCCTGGGCCTCTGCGCAAGGCAGAGGAGACCTTTCCAAGTCTCCCCAGAGCCTTGGGAATCCTGAGTCCCAAGCAAGAGTGCAGAGTGGCCACACGAACAGTGGACGAGGCTGACCCATCATGATAGGGCTCCCTTCCTCCTGTCCCCAGTCTGTTCTTTCTGTCCCCAAAAGTATGAGGGCGGAAACCCAGGGCCCCCTGGGAGGAAAGCTGTGTGAGAAGTCTTGCCTGGATGGATCTCTGTGGGAGAGGCTCTGGGTCTCCAGGACTGTCACAACTCACTGCTGCTGAGAGAGGGAGCCTGGTAAAGGGCTTTGGGGTAAGGGATGGGCATCCCTGGGGGTTCCTGAGTGGCCCAGCACAGCACCATTTGCTTATCATCAAAGCTCAGCCTTCTCCATTATTCACCAGGCCAGCTACCTTCTCCTCCCGACCCCCTCACTGGATCACTCCTTCACAGGCTCCTGTTGCCTCTGGAGCCTTGAAGATCAAACGATTCTCTCTTCCTAAGCCTGTTTCATTTTTAAATAGACTCACTTCCTTTCTCCTAGTCCATCAGCAGGGACAGGTTTTCTTCCAGTCGCTGAGGCCTGAAACCCTGGATCTTTCTCTCCCATCACATCCGAGCTCCAGGTACCTCCTTCAGACTTCAGTGTCTTATCCGTCTCCCACCCAGGCCCAAGCCTCTCCTCATTCTCCTCCTCCTCTTCCTCCTCCTCCTCCTCCTCCTCCTCCTCCTCCTCCTCCTTGTTCCCCACCCTCAACCTGTTTCTTCTCAGCTGAGCAGTGCAAGGAACCTGTTCAAATCTTGGATATGTACAAAACAAAATTAAAAACCTCAACATGGGCACGGGGTGGCAAACACCTGTAATCCCAGCACTCCAAAAGCAGAGGTAGGAGATGGCCACAAGTTCAAGGCCAGCCTGGTCTACATATCAAGTTCCAAGGCAACCAGAACTACAAATGACCCTGCCTCTAAAACCAGACCAAACAAAAATTTTAGGCTCAGAACACTGCATGTCTTTCAGCTCACCAGGGTAAGACCTACGCCCCAGGCCCCTTCTGCCATGGCCCTAGCTGGCTCCTCTCTGAGCCCAACGACCTTTACTAACTCTGCCTGCCTCCTGGATATGCCTGGAGTACAGCCTCAGCTCAGGCTTTTCCTGGAAATCCCACCTAGGTACCTACACGGTGCCCCCAGCTTTAACACTGTCCCCTGACCCCAGTAGGGATGCACACAAGCGACACCATTTGCTGACCTGTTAGTGTGTCCTGCTGGGATTCGGTAGAAGCAGAACCGTTTGTGTCTTATCTGCCTTTGTGGCTCATTGCTGGGCAGGTTGTAGCCACTCAGGATGTTTACCAGATATATAAACAGGTCATTAGAGATGTCTTTGCTGTGGAAATGATCTACCGTGTTGTAAAAGGCAGGGAAACAAAAAATGGAAGAGAACTGTCATAACACCTAGTCTACCGAGAACATTTTGGAATAACGGCTTCCAGGATTTTGTCATAATTATACAAGTTCACCAACGTACTTGTTCACCATACCATCCCAGGCCATCTCCAAATATCACCATTTTTCTCTTAAGATTGATTTTTATTTTTATTTAGTGTGTGTATGCGTATGTATGTGAGTGCAGGTGCCCAAGGAGGCAGACACCCCAGGACTGGAGTTACAGGCAGCTGTGATGTACCCAACATGGGTGCTGGGAACCAAACTCAGGTCCTCTGCAAGAGCAGCCAGTGCTCTTAGCATCTCAGCCATCTCTCCCATGCTATCTCATTCCATTCCATAACGTACAGAAGGTGTTGATTTTGCAGGCAAGGAGACCAGCCTGAAAAATGAAATACAAACAGTGATCTTAATAATGGGCTGATACTGGACATGCCTTTTTGTTGGGTTCTTTTCCTTTACTCATGTGATGATAATCCCATATACCCATCTGTAAACAGCATTTTTAATGACTATGTAACATTTGCCAAGATGATATGTTATTATTTCCCTAACCAATTCCTTGCTGTTTAGAATTTGGGATATTTCCAGCTTATTACGATGAATAATTAATACTCTTAAACACGAAGCTTTTCCCCATGTTCTGATTATTTCCTGCATCCACATTTCTAGAAAGGACTATCCCAGGGATGCAGTTATGTGGATTTTTTTAAATGTCTCCTAGGGCTTGGAATGTAGCTCATTGATAGGGGACTTGCCTAGCATGTTCAGGCCCTGGGATCACTAACCAGCACCACAAAAGAATCAAAGTCTTATCTAATAATACATCTGGGCATAGCATCACACACTTGTAAAGCCTGTAATTCAAGCACTCTGGAAACAGAGACCAAAAAAAAAAAAAAAAGATCAGGAGTTCAAGGCCATTCATGGCTATGTAGTGAGTTCCAGGTTAGCCAGTTAGGTTATATGGTCCCTGTCTCAAAATAAACTAATCAAGAAAAATTAAAGACTCCTAATGCCTATCACCAACTCCACGCTGTGACTATGATATGAATATGTGCTGGAATGAAGGGGAGAGAATTCTGCGGACTTCTCAGGTTTTTTCTGTGATGTCTTTGTCCTGCTTGTGGGCTGGAATAATCGGTGTTTCTCCTGGTAGGTGAGGCCCTTGTTCATTACTGAAGCTCTACCCCTCAACTGGCTGCAACCAGGGCCACTTCATTAATATTGCAGGCAGACCCTGAGGACCTAAATATTTGATCAGAGTGTGTGCGAGGCTGTCAGTGATCTGTGTTCCCTCTTGGTTCCACCCAGGCAGCAAGCTTGAGGCCCGACTACCATCAGAAGTTGTGGTCAGTTGTCTGTGGAAAGCAAATCACTACGGGGAACAGGTTAAAACAATAATGATACATATTACAGCAGCCCCAGGCTATACTCTTGACATTCCACATCTGACGGGCCTCGGCACATCCTGCCATTGGAGCCCAAGGCCTGGGCCACTTGTCCTCACTTGAGCTCATTCATCCACTTGACTTTATTAAGCCCCTTCTGAATACCAGCTCTATGCTGTGCACTTTGTAGAGATAACTCCTAGTGCCTAGCACATGTGTTTTAAACTGTTAGCTGTTTGTATTAACTATGTATTCATTTGTTATTATTATCATCTCAGTCCTGTGAGGGAAGTCTGATCGTTATTCCCACTTTACAGCTGGACCAACAGACTCACAGACTTAACTAAGGAGTCAAGAGCCAGACTGCG